CAGCGTTTGATTGAAGAAGCTATGCAGTGATACTTGGTATTGAAAAGGAGTTATGGCTTGACTAATAAATCCACAGTGGGCATGGGAAGCCCATGTTTCAATTCAATTGTAGAAGTTCTGTAGTAATATTTGGGTCTGAAATGCTTTGGATAATGAGTAAGTATGTATATATGAGGAGGAATTCCAAAGAGCACTTGCTTGCTTTTCACTGGAAGTGTGGTAATCCTCTTGATTTTCCCAGAGAAATCAAATGCTCTTCATTTACTGTGTTTCTTTCCTTAGCTAGAGCTAAGAATTCTTCTAGGTAGTACACACTGATTAGTGTATGCTGACTAACTGTATTTCATGGTTTCACCAGCTTCCTCTTTCTCTAACAGATAGATGCATGTCTCTAAATTATCTGACCATGCAGGCACTGGTTTTCCAAATATGATGGATAAAATGTAAAGAATGACTATTTGAATTTTTGTTGCTAAGCTGTCAACTGCAGGAAAGAAGTAGTAGTAATGGTGGGTGACTTTGCTCTGTCTGTAGGCATGTGGTGCCTTTGTTACCATATTTCCCTAACAGCTTTAATAGTGTGGAAGCTTAATGCAAACTTTCTGCATGAAGGTTGTCTCCTCTTCTTCATTTTGGTTCCCAGAGCTGTACCTTCTCTGTTTGCCATTTGATAAGTAGAAGGCATCATTAATTAGACAGGCACTCCTTTAATTTTATTGTTTGTGACCAACTTCAGATCCAGTTACAGACCCAGTAAGAGGTGATGCATTTTTACTGAATTGCAACTGGTTCTTGTACTGAGGAGTTACCAGGGTGAAGTGGCAGTCCTGCAAAGCTCAGCATAGATAGAAATAGAGCACACAGTTATGGGTAATATTACAATTCTCCATAGTGGCCACACAAAACCTAAATGAAGTTATAATTAACTGCAGTTAACTGAAAAATTGCCTTTGTAAAATAAAGCTGTTTAGTTAAAAGCTTCAACTTTTTATCATATATTCCTAGATCACAGTTTTTCGGTTATTTTATCAGACCTATTTATTTTTGACATTAGAAGAGTTATATTTCTTTTGCTTCCTTCTCAGCAAGCAAATTTACCTAGGCAATAATTCATATTGCAGTTTACTCAATAAACAGAGTACATTTTGAGAAACACTGCCTTTTAAGAATTGCATCTGATCCAATAAACCAAATTATATAATAATAAAGTATGTCACTGATGTAAACAAATACCAGATGGGTTGTAAAAGATCACTGGAAATAGACTGAGATAAACACTGCTGTGGTGTATTGTAAGTCACTAGTAAAGCTCAAAAAGGGATTCCCACTGCGTGCCTGAATCCTGGAGGGTTCCACCTTCATGTTTGTTTTTCTCTTGCTTTAAGTCTCACTCTCTTTAGAGAGATTAGATTTTTAGATTAGATTAGATTTAGATTTGATTTTTTTTTTCCCTCACTAGCTCCCCATTATTGCACTTTCAGATCCAGTGTTTGGCTGCTTTTCAAAGTGTAACAATGTAAGCCAGCAAGGTTTTGCTAATGGAAATCATGTGTTCCCAGGGAAGGAGTGTGGACCTGTTGAGGCATGGGCACTGGGGAGGCTGGGACATTGCTTTCTGTGTTTTGGGATGTGGGAGTGGGCTCATCTCTCCTGTTATTTTCCCACCCTGAAGGGGTGGATGTTGTTGCCTGTACCAGACCCAGCTTCCTCCAGGAAGGATGTACATGGTGACAGTAGGATATTTTTCCTCTTCAGATAGGAATGCTTTCACAACAAGGCTCTTTCAGTTATGGTCAGTTCGAGATAGAGTTTAAAGTGTGTTTCCAATATTGATTGAATTATAAGGCTTTTTCCACACAGTTAAAATCCAGAGGATGTTGTTCTGTATTTAAGATGTCTCCTACCACTTCTGTAATAAAAAGTTTTCTAATTGTGTGTTCATTGACATTTTATCTTGTCTTTAGATACATGGTCTAGTGGTGGACTTGACAGTGTGAGGTTTGTGGTTGGACTCAGTGATCTTAAAGGTCATTTCCAACCTAAACAATTCTATGATTTGCTTATGTGTTGTATTCTACACTGTCAAATTTATAATAATATTTAAATTAGCACATCTCATTTAGCATTCCATCAGGAGGGATAGTAAAGTATTGTATTTGGAGGATATCCACATTTTTGTGGCTTTACCTGGTTTTATATGTGTGCCACCTAGATCTCTATTTTCTTTGTTCATTTGTTGAATCTGAGATTTCTTAGTTCATGCAAACTTCTTTACACCTTTTAAATCCTGCTTAATACTTGAACTGAAGTGGCAGAAGATATAAGGGCAGATATTTTGAAAAAACTTGACTTTCAGGTGGCTCTGTATACTCCAGATGGAGTCTTAATAAAATCTGAACATGAGAGTGTATTACTCCCAAAATCCAAAATAAATGTTCCTGTAACACTCTTCAAAAGGTTTGTTCAAAATACTTCAAACAGTTTAGAAAAAATAGTGAAGTAACACAGTGCAGGCACATTTTCAGCAGTTAATCTACAAATACCATGTCTGAATTATGAGTAATGATGGCTCACTCTTTATTATTAGCCAACTATAAAATGCAGGTTGGATCATAGAAACAGAAATGTTTTGTCTCCTTCAGAATGTAGAGATGGATTTTATTGGTAGAGAGGAGATGCAGTCAGGATGGTTTAGCTAAGAAAGGTTTGTTGTTTTGTCATGATTACTAAGCTTTTATTTGTGGATCTATCAGCCTATTTGACATCACCAGGCGTGCCAAATTTGAGTTATCTTAGGAGCTGTATAAAGAATAGAATGTGCCCATTTTAGCTGCCTGTCCAGGTTAGAATTTACTTGTGTAAATACTGAAATTGGGTAGGGTGAATTTAGGCACTCTTTAGGTGTTTTATGTATTAAAAAGTATAGTTAGTTTATATAGATGAGTTTCTGGCTGCAGACTTTTATTTTCCTTGTTTTTCTTTTAGAGATAATAGAAAAGAGCCACTTCAGATCCTTCAGATCTGGAGACTTCTCCATTTTCTCTGTGAGGCTTCTGAGTCTGACATAGCTTCTTTGTCAACACCTAATGAATACAGAGTTTTTAAAGTACATATCTTAAATTTTTAAGTGTATTGACTGAAATATTATCAAAATCTTTGCAGAAAGTATGAAGTCTAGTTAGCTTCTTCATATTTAATGCAGTAAAATCAAACCTTATCTACATATAGACACTGTACACACATATACCAGAGGCATGCAGATATGCCTAATCTTGATTGCATCCAAAAGTTTTCTTTCTAGAAGCACATGCCTTCCAGCTGTGGGTATGAATTAGAATTGTGTTGCAGAAAACCAATACCTTATTTACAGGAAGTATATTTTCTTGATTTCTTCTTCTGGGAATTAATTTCAATAAGAAAAACACCTGTCATCTTCTCTGACAGCTGACGACAGCTTTAAGATCACTGAGTGACTAAGATGACAAGCTTTCCTTACACATCAACACATCAGGCTTTTATTACTGTCTTGGGTATGCAAGAAACTTTTATTAAGTGGTCTTTAACAAGGACTCATCCTGTTTGTCAGTTCTGTGACATGATTTTTATGAAGGAAGGGGTAAAGGCCCACGTCAGCTGAAGATGAGGAAATTGCAGTAGGTATTGCCTGTCTGTGTTCCGTGAAGCTTGTCTGCAGAGAAGATGGAAAGATGGAAACAGATCAAAGGGCATGTTTTTTCATCACAATTCCTGATGGGGATTAGGCAAGTTTATATGAAAATTCAAACATTGCTAGTCAGAAACTGATTGTTCAGACTTGGGAAAAAATTTTCTCGTGAAGAAACACAGCTTTTATTTTTTTCCCCGTAGAGAAGATGAATTATTGTAGTTTTATTACTGTCATGTTTAACTACTGTAAATTTACAACCATGCTCTGTTGAATGGGGAAATTACTAAAAGCACTGTTGAAGCTTCTCTTGAGTCTGAAACTTGCCTTTCATGTATTCAAAAGTTTGGGAAAATTCACCACTTTGTTTCATTATATTCTCTAATAGTCTTTAGTATCTCCTTCAGAGAAGACCCATCCTCTATTCTTCATTAACTGGTAAAGTAATATGGAAATGGAATGTGTTGTATTGTCTTTTTTGAACATTTTATCAGGAAAATCTTGGCAAAATGTGCCCTGCACTGTATTTTTCCTAATATTTTTCCAGGTCAAGTTAACAGTAAACAGCCCTATTCCAGCTTCCTTATAGAACTACAAATTCTCCTATGGCACATTCATGTGTTAAGACTGGAGAAAATTAAAAATCCCTACATTTCCCCAGCATTTTCCCTGGGATTTAGGGTCTTCCTAAACAAACATTAAATACTAAAGGATTAGAAATCATTCAAACAGTATAATTAGATTCCAGCCCCAAATCTAGATTTGTATTTTTCACTTATGTGCTCAGGTGAAGGACAGGCTGATCTTTAGGAAAAAAAATGGACAAGCCTGAGTTTATCACTGGAAAAACAGCCACAGAAATATTACTCTCTGTGATTTTTCTCATGCCTCCATGGAGAGACTTGGGCAGAAGCTGCAAATGCAGTTTTTTGCTACTCCTTGTTTCATATATGAATCTTGGCCATATGCTCTGAGTGGGTTTGAAATCACTTAGATTTGATTTTTTGTTTATGTTTGTTATTATGCAGTAAGCCATAGCACTGAAAATATGTTCTTAAGAAAATAGTGCAGTAGGTAATTAGTGGGAGAAATATTTCAAAACAGTATTTTTAATATGTTGCTTAATCTGTATGGTGACTAGCATATTTGTTTGATTTTTAATGCATTCTCATTGTTTACCCATATTTGCCTCGTCATTTCATGTTGCCAATAGTTGGTTGTTACTATTTTAAATTTAAGGAAATTTTGATGGGATTTTGGATGTTACATATTTTTATATATTTTTTGTTTTATTAATATAAAGATTTTCTTTTTTTTTTTTTTTTTTCTCGTCTAGAAAGGTCCTAAAGGAAATCTCTGTTGGAAACCTAAAGCCTAATGAAACAGTTGAAGCAAATCTGGAAGCACAACTACTCTCCAAATTAGACCATCCAGCCATTGTCAAATTTTATGCAAGCTTTGTGGAGCGAGATAGTTTCTGCATTATCACTGAGTATTGTGAGGTGAGACTGAAGAAATTTGAAAACATGTGTGTATTAAAATAGGGTCTTCTAAGATGCCATTTTATAAAATGTTTTAGTTTGAATTTTAGTCTTTATTTGTTGCTTATGACGTCATCTGCTACTTGTTAGGTGTGTTCCTTTCAGATAAGGAATGTTACCTGCTCATATGAGACTCATAGACAAATAAAGCACAGAAGAAGAAATAGGTAATTTTAAGTGCAAGTTCTTTTGGTCTTACAAGGGCTACAAGAAAGGCTTAAATGCAGACACACTGCCAGATCTGTGGGAGAACTCAGAAGGGTTGTACCACTTGTGTGTGATCGATGAGAGGGAAGGAGATTATTGTGGGTGTGGGGCATGAAATAAAATCTGGTACAAATGAGGAAGGGAAAATTCACTTGTAGTTTGGAGGTGATTACAAGAAGCTTAAGCCTGATCACAATGTTGTTGGCAGCAACTTTGGTTTTATAAAATGAAAAACAGTGGGAGTCAAAGACCGGAGTGTAGTGGATACAACAAATATTAAAGCAGGATTTTCTACAGTATAGTTACTATTAATTTTTTGACTGCAGCATTTGGTTTAAGAACATTTTGCTGGAAGCTGTCGTAAAGCTTTCAAATAAGAATTTAAGCATATTTAAGCCAGTTTTTTAGTAGTTTATATAAAACAAGCTCCTACTTTGTATTAAATATAAATGTGCTCTTTAAAAAAAATCTGTCATACATAAAGTGATCTTTTTTATGAAACTGTGAAGCAATCTCTTCAGTTGTGCTTTGCTAGACATGCTGAAAAGCTTTGGAAGATAATGAACTTAGACTGCTGGGTTACCTGCACACAAATCAGATTTGACTTCACTAATCACACTTCTTCAAGAATTTAGCTTTCATGGGAATAATTAAACAAGTACCATTTCTATAATTTATTTCTGCCTTGGAAGCTTTCTTTAATGATAGGCAAATGCATATTTATTGCTGGGATATTTAAAAATTAAGTCTGAAATGTTCAGTTCTGTGATACAATCTGAGTATTTGTCCACTATTTTAACACACGCAGAAACCTTTTCTGCCATTCCTTGAATGTCTGACAGCTGGGGTTTGAGAATATTGTCAGCTCTTTGAGGAAATCCAGAGCTCAGGACTGAAGGATTATTCTAACTCTTCAGCTATTCCCATCCAATCATAGTTTTTTCTCTACTAGCAGTACAAAGTGACCCAATACCAGATCAGTTAAACATGTAGGAATAAAGGAGCCTATTTCAGTAGCACTATAGTGTCTTTTCTCTATCCCTGCTTTTTACTTTTTTTTTTTTTTCCCATTTGGCATAAAGTTATAGGTGAATAAGAAAGAGCATGATAGCACAGTAATCACAAGCATCGCTCCTTGGAGCTTTGGGGGTTTTTTATGCAGGCAATATAAACTACCTTGCATGAAAATGTTTTGGAACAGGGATACCTGAGAATCTGGGAGTCAGATCCTCAAACAGGTGTGAATGTATTACAGCAAGGCAGGTAAAGGAAGACAAAATGGATTCATTAGCTATGCACTAAATCTTTTCAGTTTTAGTCTGCTAGGTGAGATCAGGATGACACCTGGCCCAATAGGATGTGCTTCTGACTTTCCCCCAAAGGACAGGTTCTGTGGTATCATTGCATTTATGCCATTACAATATATTTCATCAAATGCTCAGTACACAGCAAAGTTGCACACAGTGCTATAGAGTTTCTTTTCTATTTTAGTCAGAGTGTTTCCAGAAGGTATACTGTGGCATTTACTTATCTATAACCTGCCTTTGTACCTGGTGAGATTTGGGTGTTTTGACCTAAAAGATGCCTGCTTAAACCATCCATAAATTGAGAATGAGAAAAATGTTGTGCTACCTGATCCTTGCTTGGAAGTCTAGTACGTTCAGTTTCTCATGCATAGAATAATTACCAGATTGGCAGTAATTGCTACTCTTGGGCAGGCTCAAAACAAAGAGCACACATTAAGTTGGCATGGAAACAGAACTACCCCCCTGAGCTCTACTCTGTTTTCTCCAAAGTACTGTGACTTATTCATTAGCCACGGTGCTTTGTTCATTCTGGCGTGAGTGGCATGGAGGGAGCCTCCAGTGCAGCTGCCCCGTGCTATATCTTGTTCTGTGAAAGAAAACCAGTGACATTGGTCTCCATGGCTCAGCTTGACATCTTTTATTATAACTCAATTCAATGAAAATTATAGAAAAGTATATTTGTTCTGTTTTGATCTTACTTGTTGAGCTTCTTAAATACTTTCCCCAAATCAAAATCTTATGGGTTATATAAACATTCTCAGCTAAGACTGGTTTCAAACAAAAATGCCTTAATGAACCTTGGATTTAATTTTGTAGTACAAATTTTACTTCAATAATATATAGTTTTCACAAAGGAGTGTACTTTTAAAATTGCATCATTTTAATGTATTATAAGGCAGAACTCCTTGTACTTTTCCCCCAGACAATTATTTATGTCTCTTGACTGCGGTCTCAGCTGTGATGTGAGTACACATATGCTAAGGAAATCTGAGCAAAAGGAATAACTAAAGCAGTCAATGCCTGTTCACGTTATCAGCTCTAGATGCTAAGCTGTTTTAGATAATTTACTGGTGTGTTTGATACTCTGATATTTAAATAGAAACTGCAGCTTGGAAACTCCATATGTACTTAATTTGTTAAATTGTTGAATTTCTCATGAACTTCATTAGATTGACCTTCCAAAATGCAAAATTGGGTTAACAAAATTTTTTTCAGTGTTTTCCAGCAGCAGTACTTCAGCAAATCTTTTATTATGTGTTTTTGTTTTCCTTTTTTTAGACAAAAAATCAAGGGTAAATTAATTGTAGGACATTGAGGCCACTCTTCTTTGCTTGAAGATAAAAAGCTATGCAGTTATGTGAGGGCACATGTAGTGCATTATTCAACTGCTTTTGTTCTCCTTAGACCTTTTACAGGAATTGTCCCTCAGTTTCAGAGTATTCACTGCCATAACTCTGTAGGTGCTGCATTTATTTTACTTTGTGTTTTTCATGGCAATGTGTTATTGTGAGAGGGGACACAATGTGTTATTGTGAGAGGGAAAAAGATGATCGGAGCCTGCTGCACTTCATCAGTCCTCACCAGGATAGTACACAGTCCCCTGAGGCCAGCAGCCACCTGACACATGTTTGAGCACCCCCTCAGTCCTGGGCTCTGGATGGGTTGGGGCTTCTGTCTGGAACAGTTTATTTTATAATAATGACTCATTGTTTTTGAGGTGCATGAGTAGCCTCAGCCACAGCCCATCTGGCTGCCATGCAATGGGGTACCCAGCAAGAGTTTTTCTTTTCTTCTTCTCTGCTGCAAGCAACCAGGGGGAAGCTGCTGAGCATTTGGAGTTGCAAAGGGGAAGCAGCTGCTGAGAGTCCCAAGTTCCCAGAAGAGTTTCTCTCTGGGCTGCAGTAGGGTGGCAGATGGAGATCTGAACCCATATTCCCTTCCCTAGTGTACAAGATGATTCAGACATTTCAATTAAAAAAATTGCAGGACATTATCAGGGAACACATTTTTGATAGATGACAAAACAGATTTGCTTTGTTTTAACACACTCACTTTGGAATGTTGTAACTTAGAACCAGAAATTACTGTAAACTTATCTCAGAAGCATGTGAATATATAGATCTGCAAGGACAGAATCTGCTTATTTTGTAGCAGCACTATGAAGCACTGTGGTGTTGGGAACAGAAAAACAAGAAATGCTGAAGACATCATAAAATGGTGAGAGTCAACAGTGCAGAGGAATACAGGGATGATGATGGAAAATGATGGTACTGGTACCGTTGTACAGGCAAAATAGTTTCTTGTATATGGCACATAAAGCTTCTGATTTTATGTAGAATATATAATGTAAAATAATGATTTATGGCTAATAAGCTGTCCTGATGTAATTAGTCACTAGAATGTAATCAGAGTCACAGTCCCTTTGCTCTGGGGTTAGCTACCTCAATACATTGCTTACCATTAATGTGTGTGCATTCTTGTAGATGAAATTAATTTATTTTATAAACTGGATAAACAATCAGTTGACAACCACTTGTATTTTTTTGGGCAAAAAGAATGGGTTTCCTGGAAGTCTCAAAATCCTCTTTCATTGTGTTGTTGTACAGTTTTCAAGTAGTCCTTTTCTGGATATATTTTCTGGTTTATTGGCACTCCCTGCTGTGTGTCCTATTGTTCCATTCCCAGTGCTACTTCAAGATCAATTGTTGTTTTTATGAAGTATCACAATAACACAAGCTACGTATTCTTGAGGCTTTAAATCTGCTTTGTTTCTGGCAAAAGTTTGGAAGAGGGCAAAGTATCATAATTAGAGAGACCGTATTTTAATTCTTAAGAGAACAACATGGTTGCTTTGATGCTGACATGATTATTATAACATAATAAATGAGTGTCACTTGAGTGTGCAATGTTTGACTGGAGTGGAAATGCTTTTCTCAAATTTATTAACTTAGTCAGACCGGTTGGGGCAGATTAATTTTACCTACCTAAGTGTCTATGTCGTAGCCAGTCAATGTAGGCCCTCATCATAAATCTTTGCAGAGAAACAGTGTTTCTACAACATGATCCATCCCTTCCAAAGGTAGACAACCAGATGACAGAGATAATTACACTAAACAGGTGTGTTTTCCTTTGTGTTGCCTGTAAACGTTTGGGGTCACCTGCTCAAGTTGGGTGACATGAAGGAAGAACAGTTGGAAACTTTGGCAACCTTGTGTAACACTAAAAGAAAACAACAAAGTGAGACTGGTGGATAGCATTTTGATCCTCACTTGTGTATGCTTTTGGAGCTGGGAGATTTCAGGATTCACGTGCATATGTTGATTTTACAGATTTACATGACAGGATGCCTGAAGGCCTAAGGAAGTGGGGTCCTGTACTATGATGGAGATAGCATTTTGAAAACTTACTTTAAATGTACAAATATGTTGTGATATTTTTCAGGGTGGAGACCTAGACTTTAAAATTCAAGAGTACAGAGATTCTGGGAAGATGTTCACTCAAAGTCAAGTAATAGACTGGTTTATACAGCTGTTACTCGGAGTCAACTATATGCATGAAAGGTACAGTCATTTGATATGGGAGCATTTAGTTTGGGAGGGGAGTGAATGGACTTACTGACTAGTTGGTGAACAGAACAGAAATGAAAGTTCTGTTCACCAAACATTGTTAATTTATGTCAGATACTTCAAGTGTAATTAATTATCTACCCTGCAGGATCATTGTGCATTACCTCTTTTAGCAGGACAATAGTAAATGTCTTCCAGCATTTAGACACGCTTTTTTTCAGAGCCAAATGGAAAATGGAACACAGTAGAAATAGTTTAATATTCTTAGAAGAAAATGGATTAAAGGTTGAAACAAAGTCATCTTTTTAAAGGGGAGTCAAGAAGCCTGTCCTGCACGTATTTAATGTGAAGCATCCAATAGATAGAAGCTTGATGGACTCCCAGTAAAATCAGTAGAGTTACATACAGACATTCTTTGAGATGTCACTTTTAACAGCACATCAAAGATGAACTTCAGAAATTACTGCAAGTCATCCAGGTATGAGGAGATCACACATGGTTGGAGCAGGGGTAGTGTATATAGATGAATATCCACTGGTCATCTCCATGAGTTTAGCTGTTGCCTGCAGTGTGATTTATCTGGCTGACTGCAGTGATAGAAAGATTTCCCTTATTGCCAGTGTGTTGAACATGTAGACTGCCTGTCTGATCCCTTTCTGCATCATCTTTTGAAAAGATTGGGAAAAATTTTCTTGCCTGAATTTTAGGTGCAACCAAGCAATAGGTAGAGAGGTCACCGGTTGTCAAGAGCAACCGTTCCTGAGTTGAACTGAAGTTAAGTGTGTGGGAGGCGTTTGACCTAAACTGATGGATGCCTAATGAGTTTTTTGCCTGTGTCAGACTGTAGAGGGAAAAGGGCAGAGTGAATTGCTGTCCAAGATGCAAGAGCATTTTTGCTCTTAAATGCCAATTTATCTAGGCCTTATACATGAAATGCTGCCCTGCCAGTGATGGGAGGACACAAAAAAAACTCTCTTGGGATGGTGTGCTCTTCAGCATTCACCTCAGGCCAAAAGGACAGAGGGAAATGGACATAAAAATCCTGACAGTTTAACTAAACTAGCAGTGTGATTTAGTTTCTTTTTCTCCTTTGAACTTCAATTTATCAAATTTCATTAAAATTTTGGTCCCCTTTTGGCAAAATCCTTGCTTTAACATGCATGTTTAGAAGATGCATTGTGCAGAATAATTAAAACTTGACAGTTTTGATTTATATATATTTATTTGTATCTTGTGTTTTTTGGCTGTATGTATATAACATTTTCCTTATTAGTATAGAGTCAAACAGTAGCTTAAATGGAAAAGATTAGGCTTAAAAGAATTTAAAACTACCTACAGAAATCTGAAATACTAAAACATCATAACAGCCCTCTGTTTCTGTGTAGAAGAGTCATGCATGATTTCTGCTCTACTGACATGGAAAAAAGCTCTAATATAAGTTTGAATTATGTTCTAATGCAAAAAAAGCTTTTCCCTAGAATTAGAGGCTTAAAGTGTTTACAGTCTGTGGGTTGGTCCTTCCCCATGCCATTCCTAAGAAAACTCAGATTCTGCGGATGTGAGGGTTTTTTTTTTCCCAGAGCAGCAAAAATTATTACTTATGGTTTTAAACATAGACTATTCACTTATCCTTCTTGCACAACTTTAGTTCCAGACTTTTTGAAAACTCTTATGCTAGAAACTTAATGTATTTTTTTTTTTTAATTTGAAACTTAAAAACAAAGTTATCTAGAAATAAGCAGATTTAATCCTTACCTGTCTTTGATATAAAGAAAGGGAGAAGTAAGAGAGATAACACAGTTCAGTGGTCTTATCTCCATGGAGACCTTTAGCATGAAACCATCCTGTAGTGTCTCGTAGTACACATAGCCCGTTGCATGTCAGTGCACAAAATGAATCCCACAGCAATCAGGCAATGAGGCCATTGATTAATTTAACCTCAATTTGAATAAGGCTGACCATTGTGTTACCCATCATTTTGCTAACCTTTATGAAAAATTTATGAACATAGATTTTTATAAGGTTACTCTTTATGCAAATAGCAGATAATACAGGGTTCAGACTTACACAGAGCCTCTTACTCTTCTGCAGACCTCTTCAGACAGAGGAAGAGAAATTAATTGTGCATGATTTCACAGCAGTGATGTACTTCAGCTTTCCTCAGCTTCACTTGCAGCTCATTCTGTTGCAGGCAAAGTTTCATTCAAGGAGGCTGCCCACTGCTCAGGGCTTGCCCTGTTCTTCTGTGACTTTGGGCCAGCAAGCAGGAACTCTGCAGAACATAGATATGGGTATATTTACAGTCCAGATTTGAAACTGTCCTCAAGTGTTAATTTCTACCCAAAATAACTACTCAATAAACACTTCACTGTCCATCAAGTAAAGTTTTGCTGGAGCCCAGTTAATTCATGTTGCCTTCATAGGTCTGTCTTTTCCTCCAATAAAAACGTTGCTCTCTTTCTTTAACTGGATTTACAGTGCAGGCTTGATATTAATATCTTTCTAGTATTAAAGAATTCTTTTCAGGTAAGATTTCAGCTGGTACCTTGTTTATCTTCAGACATATCATAGCAGAATAAGTTGCATTGAAGTGAGAGATATCATCATGGAAAGTTGAAAAAAATAATCCTAAATATTTGTCATATTAATATATGGAAGCATCTTATAATTTTTGGTAATGCAAATGAAATACATAACATTTTCATCAATATGTTGCAAGATTAGAGTAGCATTACATTATAATTCAAACTTATGTGACCCAAACATCTTTTTTCATCTCCTTTTCAAATAATGTGCTACTGAAAGCTTTCTGGATCATTCTTTTACTTCAATATACCTGTTATTAAAATAATATATATTCAGGAAAGTTTCAGGTTCAAAAAGGCTGTGGTTATATTTCTACAAAGAAATACTATTAAAAGAAGGTTGAAATCCACCAATTCTCAGCAACAATGTGAAGAATAATTTAACTCAGTGAAAGCAAATTATTTTAATGACTTTGTGTGATGAATGGTAAGGAAGTCTTTATGAATCTCAATTAACACAGCAAGATTTCTGTTAAAGTGTGTGTATGTATATATATAGACATATATATACATACTTATGAAAGATTAATAAATATCACCTTAGTTTAATTTCCTTACTGATGTGTTGTATGAGTGTATGTGTATTGTTCACAGAAGTTGTCAAATAGAGAACAAATTATTTATAAACAATATTTTATAAATATGGGTGGAGGAATATTGAACAAAAATTTCGTTTTTCCCAACGTGCAAACCTTTTTCTAATGAAAGGTATTACTTGCAGGACAAAAAAATTGAAAGAAAAAGAAGTGAAAAAAGTTTACTGTAAGAAACATGAAGAACTCTTTTCCTTCACCCATAAAATAGAAATTTTTGTTTTTCATGCCCAGTCTCTGTACATACTGCAATGAAGCCTAGTATTATTTTTCATGGTTTTTTTCTATTTGTGAACTGAGTGTACTAAATTGCATATTTTTTTCTCCTCTTGCAAAAAATATTTTCATATGAGTTGTGGACAAAATTGGATATTCAAATTGTGCTCTAGAATGCATATGTTCTAGTCTTGGAAATAATTTCATTATGTCAATGCCCAATACTTTTATAATTAAAATTTGAGATAATACTTGAGGATTGCTCAAAAATTTGAAATTGAGTAGCATATTTGGTTCTTCTGCCTTCAAAAATCTTAGAGCATCAGTTTCTTTCTTTACATGATCCAAATGGCTGAATGACTACTGTATTTGCATTAGCAAATACAGTTTCTGTAGCCAGTATGTACCAAGTGCTATTCTAACCTCCTCCTGAGCAGAGCTGATGACTAATTCTGTGTGTTAGTAATAATTTCAAAAGTGGATGAATTCCAGTGTAGGTGAGGTTATAGGCAGCAATGCTTTTGGAAGCTTTATTAACAAGAATTAATTTAGAATATGTTTTGTATACCACATACAAGAGAGATACTTTGTTTTCCTAAGGGGCTACAGAATTACTGTTATACATGTAGACTTACAAAAATTAAGAAGATTCTGTATATCCTTACATGGTGTGTAGCTTATAATGTTTTTTTTTTTTCAAACTCTGATGGAAAAATAAGTCTGTAAAAGCTAATTGTTCTGCTCCTTTTCCTTTTCATCTTGTCTTTGTAAAGTTCTTTCATCTTCCACACTGTTACTGTAAAAAATTGAACTGCTAGCTTAGGCTATATTCATATTTGCCTTTGAAGTAATAGGTTTGCTCTGTAGGAGTCTTCCCTTAGCTTTGAGAAGCTCTTATTGCTGTTTCTCTCATCCGCTATTCTCTTGTGAGGCATCTCATTCTCCTGGCAGAAAATAAGATGTAATGCTCTTAAGATGAGTCAGGTAGGAAGACTTGCCTTACTCCCTTCCCCTGCTGCTCATGCTATGTCTGTGTCTGTATTCTTCAGCTGGGATCCCCAGGTATATTTTTATTATCCTGCTTAGGCTCTCACCCTGCATAGGGGTGCCTGTGAATGCACCTCTGTGAAGCTCCTTAATGCCATTGTCCATGGACTGTCACTGGCAGAGTTAGACTCCAGCAGGCTGGCCTGCTAGAGAGCTGGCCTTTCTAAAAAGGGCTGAAGTATTTAACTTCATGAAATACTTAATACATGGCTCTGAATGATTCCAGTTGGGTGAGGTTGAATTTCCTTTTCTATTCCAGACGGATACTTCACAGGGATTTGAAAGCCAAGAATATATTTTTGAAAGATAATCTTCTTAAAATTGGTGAGATTTCCATACTTTTTAAAGATATATTTTCATGTGATAGAACAGTCCAGCAGACATTTTGTCAATAAGGAGATTTAAAGAACATCATGTCTGAAATAGCATTTTGATTTGTAGTCAAACACTTATTTGACAGTCAGACACAGGAGAGGTGAAAATCTCTAGCCTTGAGAATGCTTTAAGCTTGGCTGGACCTGGACCTCAGCAGCCCCATTCAGCTTTGAGCCAGGAGTTTGAATCAGATGACCTTGTGAAGCCTCTTCAAACCCACATTGTTCTGTGATATTATGCTTCTGTGGTGTTTTTATTTTGAAGAATTACAGAAAATAGTTTTTCCCATCGTTTTTAAAAACTAGCAGATTTTTCTAGATGTACAGTCGCTTTATCATGTGTGACAATAAACAAAAAATTATATGAATACATATATGTTTATATTATTAGATTATTGTTTCTACTGATATTTTTAGGAGACTTTGGAGTTTCTTGTCTTTTGATGGGTTCATGTGATCTTGCAACTACTTTTACTGGGACACCATACTACATGAGTCCAGAAGTACTGAAGCACCAGGGATATAATACAAAATATGACATTTGGTGAGTAGCCATGCTATTTTGGTTGGATTAGGCATTTATCTCCTCTAAAACTATTTCAGGACATTAGGAACAAATGTTGCAATCTGAAGCCTTGCCCTTTGTGTTAAGAAGCATGTAGTTGGCTTTTATTCCAGGTTATCTGAGACTTTAAAGGAGAATAAGATTCAGGTCCAGTCTCTGATGTGATAGAGGATGATTGTAGACAAAGTTCAGGTTTTCCTAGGGAGGGGGAAATCTCTTTTTTTCTTGAATTGAGATAGATGAATTGAAAGAAGCAACTTTCTGTGAAACTTTAGATGGATGAGCAAAGAGTGATTCTGGCTGAGACGATAGCAGAAGGACCTTCTTAGGAACTAAATTTAAGAACATTAGCTAATGTTAAAAGCAAGAAAGTATTTGGAAGTGGAGCTAAAATGAGAATAACTGTGGTGTTAGAGCAAAAACAAAAAGGCACTCTGTTTTAGAAGAGGCTCAAAGGTAGAAAGAAAAGTGTTAGTTCTGCATTTAGATGGCACAAATTCTTGAGATCAGCACTTCTGTGGTGATGATTAAAGGATCAAGTTTGGGAGCTGAGGTCTATTGAAAGACTTTTGGAAACTTCTAGGTGTGCAGGTACTCTTCCAATTCTTCTAAGACGAAGAATGATTTTTTTGGAATTGCGAAAATATTTGGCTTGTTTATATATGTGTCCTAAAGCATTGCATGTTTTAAGATTACAGTTAAAAGTGTTGAGTTTTTAAATTTTGTTATAGTAATTTATTTAAGAGGTTTTGTTTCTTTTATGAGGTGTTTTGTTGTCTTTTTTTTTTTCTGTAGGTATGTGTATCAGAAGATTAATTTTTTTAATAAATATTTCAAACCAGGAAAGTTCCTTCATAAAACATTTGGCCCCTGAAATATAGTTTGATTGCTTGATAATTTACTCTAGCTTTATCTCAGTTCTGCCTTTTCAAAATATATTTGTGGCTGCAGGATATAATTCTAAAAGTAGAGAACAGCCATCTATATTTTCAAGTGGTAGCAACCATTTTTCACAGTTGACATATTCAGTCCACTCAACAGATATGTCAGGAATCTCATCTCATGGCCTTTGTATCTGACTGCTATGGATTTGGTGTCAGATTCTCTCTTGTTCATCTGTAGCAAATATCAGGTAATACATGTAGTCAATAAAAATATATTGGGAGAAGATTTCAAATTAATAGACAGGGAAGCCTGCCTTTTGTGCTCTTCTACTGTAAGGAATAATTTATTTTATTGCAGTGCAAATAGAAAATAAAATACATTTTCTATTTGTGGTTACTAGTGTCAATCCATATAGGTCATCCAAGGTGTACAGAGTAAGCATAATCAGAGTTTGGTCCAATACTTTTAATTCTGTGTTGATCACACTTTCAAAATTTACAAAAACACAGAAAAAAGCCCCCCATCCCAAACTCAGTAGCTACCAGCTTTCTGCTATACTTTCTGCCTTCTGTGATCTTTCCAAAGCATTACCAAGAGCACTCACATGAGGATGAAACTGCCTTCAGCAGGAGCTTCTTGGCTCTCACTGTGGGGGCAGTAAGGAGGAGTTGTGCCCTGACTCAGTACTTCCCCAGCCCACAAACCCCTTTTTTATTGAGTCAGGAAACTCTTCTGATCAGGACTTGTGTTTGATTGATACTCTCATCTTTTAATCTTTGAATAATGATTCTATTTGACTATTTTTCCACTGTCCCCATTTAACAGGAGCCAAAAGACAAGAGGGCACTGAGCTCACAGGGGAGCCCACTCTGAAGGCTCCAGGTGGGATTAAGTCCACTTGGGCCACTGTGCAGGAGGTTCTGATTCTCAAGAAGAATCAAAGACTCATAGAATGCTTTGGGTTGAAAGGGCCCTTAAAGATCATCTCATTCCAACTCCCCTGCTGTGGGTAGGGACACCTTCCACTAGATGAGGTTGCTCAAAGCCCCATCCAGCCTGGCCTTGAACTCTCTCTCAGTTTGAAGTTGTTACCCCTTGTCCTATGATTACATGCCTTTGTAAAATGTCTCTCTCTGGCCCTCTATCACTTCATGTGCTGCAAGGTGCTCAAAGGTCTCCCTAGAGCCTTCTCTTCTCCAGACTGAACAACCCCAACCCTCTCAGCCTGAATCCATGGAAGGGGGGTTCCGGCCCTCAGATCATCTTTGTGTACCTCCTCTGGACTTGCCTCAACAGGTCTGCATCCTTCTCATCTTGAGGGCCCAGAGCTGGATGCTGTACTCCATGTGGGGTCTCCGAATAGTGGAGTAGAGGGAAGAATCTCCTTCCTCAGCCTGTTGGTCACACTCTTGTGATGCAGCCCAGGATGGGGTTGGCTTGCTGGGCTCTCAGCATACATTGCCAAGTCATGTTGAGCTCTTTATCAAGCAACATCCTCCAAATCCTCCTCAGGCTTCTTTTCCATTCTCTGCCCAGTCTGTGTTTGTGACTTAAGTGCAGGACCTTGCAATTTGCCTTGTACTCCATAAGGCTGGCACAAGCTCACCTCTCAAGTCTGCCAAGCTCCCTCTGGATGACAGCCCTTCCTTCCAGCATGTCGACCATACCACGCAGCTTGTCAGCAAACTTGCTGAAGATACGCTCAGTCCCTCTGTCCATGTTGCTGACAGAGATATTAAATAGCATTGTTTGTTGACCCCTGAGGACTTTCAAAGAGTTACCCAAGTCTTTTATATGTAGATGAAGTGACATTCTCTCTTCAGACTTGTCTTCCTGATCTCCAGCAGGACTCAAAAATTCACACACAAAAATTTAGACTTATGAGTGTTCCCATGTTAAATGTAAGATAATGTAAAATACCTTCTGCAAAAGACAATTAGTGCTATCTCACCTTGTTATCATGATCCTCTCACTGTTCATTTCAGTTCATTGGAAAGACCTTAATTTCTGCTGCATTACTTATGTGCTCTAAAGAGACACTGTACTTTTCAGGTTCAATGAAATGTTCTGCAACTGGCTTTTCGAAACTGGCTTGAATATTCACAGTGCAGCAGCTGGTGCAAGAAGTATTGTCCTTTATAGCCCAAGGTCAATAGATGGGGGAAAAGCTACATGTTTTACAGTTTTTCCCCATGGAAGTTCTGCAGTTGGTCTTAGAGAAGTGGCAGCATTTATGTTTTTCTTCAGTTGAAATGTCAGGGCTGTAGTTCTTTGTTATTCCACGCTTTATGTCAAATCTAAATTCACAGGAGGCAAATTAAAGTTGGCTCCCATGTTTTCCCCAGTATCCCTGAGCCTGGACTGGCTGGGCCATGAGAGAAAACCTTTGCAGATGACACAGTTTGGGGTTTCCTCCTTTCCAGACAAGAAGCTTCTTCAGGGAGCAGATCTCAGCTGGGCAGTTCCCCACCACTTCTCCCTGTGGGTGCTTCCCGCTGTAGCTCCGGCAGATGGAGCAGAGTCAGAGCGGTGCCAGCAGCTGAGCTGAGACAGAGAGAGCCCCAGAGGCCAGACTGGGCCAGGGCTCAGTCACTGCTGTGTGTGTGTGTCAATGACTTAGAGGTTTACAAGCTATCTAATACTTATATAGATACACAAACAAAATAAATTAATTGCAAATAATTTTAAGACCATTCACTGGTAGCCCAGCCCTGTGTGACCCTGAGGCGCTGCTGTGTCGCTGTCCCAGTGTCCCTTCCTGCCCTCACACACCCTGTGGTGACACTGGTGTTGTTGAGGCTCAGCCAGCATTGCCGTGCCTCCAGTGCTGTGGCAGAGAAAAAGTGATGTCACAGTCACATGTAAATCCATTGTACTCCATCTTCTATCAAGTACTGTCAGAGTTTGGCAGATTGTCTTTTGTCAGATGATTTGTCTGTTGTGTTTGGGTAAATTGGGCTGCCCACACCACAGATCTTGAGGCTTTCATTTTATTGTGCTTGCTTGTCTGTGCTATTCCCCCATTTTGTCTTTTTCTTTAATATGAACAATCAAAAAATGGAGCAGTGTGAAGGCTGAGGGGATGGGGCTCAAGAAGACAGCACAGGGAGTTCTCATTTAAGGGCTGATGAGTGAGTATTGAGGAAATTAAATTCAGAAACATATTCCTTACAGACTCTGAAGCCAACGAATTCTTAAAACCTTCTGATATGATCAGACAAAGAGATATAAGCCTTAGAGGTATATGCATTTACATTATCTGACTTTTAAAGTTGGATTTAAAGCTAACTTGGATCTTATAACCTTTGAAGAATTGTAATGTTTTACCAAAGATCAGAAGATATTAAAAGGATGACAATATTTACGTAAGCAACTTAAACCTCGAAAAAACCTCAGGGTGGTTTCTCCTAAGAGGGAGGAGTTAGAGGTCTGTCAGTTGAGACTGGTGGGGAGAACACACTGAAGCCTGTCCAGATGCTCCATTTTATGATGTAATTGAGCATAAGTAGCTTCAACATGAACTTGTCACGCCGCAATTTTGCTGAAATGATGTGCTCTTCGGGAACTTTGTCAAACCCATTCGTGAAGATAGGGAGTTGTCAAAGTAAATGTGCTGGCTGGCTGGTTAAATGACCATTTTAGAATTTTATAACATTGGCACTTATGCAGGCTAAAATGATAAAAGTAATTAAATGATATGTTTGGATCATGTGTGGATTGCTTATGGGAATTGGGAAGCAATTTCCTCCTGCTCCTCACAAGGTGCTTCAAGCAGAAATGTAGAAACACAACTGAGAAATGCAGTTTTGAGCCAAAAGCTTGCCTATTATTTCTTTGGGTGTTTGCAGCTCAGCAGCTCTCTTGGGAAGAAATAGCCTTGTTCAGGAACCCAGGGCAGCATTTCTCAGCTTAGGAGATATTTATTTAATTTCGAGGATTTTGGTCCTGCAGAAAGAAACTTTATTCTTTTTCCGTCATTTTTCTTTACTTTTTTCCCCAGTTTTTTTCTTTCATGGAACAGATGGGATTTTCCCTGGATAGCCTGTTCATAGCCCTGGCTGCAGCAGAATGCCCTAGGCATTCTTTTAATCTTTCTCCACCTCAGGTGTAGTCAGAGTACTAAACTAGATGAATAAATCAGCTTCCCTGATGTGTCAAATCCTGTGTTCCTAATGGCTCATTAAACAATTTCTAGCTGCCAGAATCAAGCAGCTTCCAAAACATATTGATTCTGCAAAAAGAAGTTATAGTACAGTCTGTCAGGTTGGGATTTTCCTTCTTTTTTTCTTCTCTCTGGCTGATTTCCATTTTTATTTGATGCTTTCAGATGCTGTGTACATAGGGATTTTTTTTGTTGTTGTTCTTTTTGCTTTAAGTATTTTCTCATGTAGTAATTATCTTGTTTCAGAGTCTGAACATACATCATAAATACAAATTATCATCCTTGTCTTACTGTTTACTGATTTTGTAAGTTTGAAGGATGTTTGACAGCCTTTGACAGTTAAATCTTTAAAAAACCTAGGCAAACATTTATTTACCTCTGTAGTTGTTCTTTAGCTGATTCTTAGCAAAAATGCTCTGCTAATGGTTTTCACATACTTGCTTGAAAAGTACCACTGAGTAGAGCCCCCTCAATTTGCACTGGATGTAGAGCCTGAGTTTCAGTTTTAAAATTATTAGCTCTTGTTCTTTTATTGGCAGATGGACCAAAACAACTCCTCTTGTTTAACCAAAAGGAATAATTGAAACTTTATTCATTATTTGTTTTCAAAGATTTTTATACTGCTTTCCTGACAGCCATTCACCCATACATATTTCTTATAATCATACTTTATTGTCTTACTTCTTCTGGAATCACAGATTAAATTATAAACACCACAATCAAATACAAAGATATTTAAGCTGGTTGCTTTGATGAGTCTTGGCCTGTATCTGGCTCTCACCAGAATTTTCTATGACCTTGATCAAGTCAGTCAAGGCCAAGTCAGTGAAGTGATCAAGTTTGTCAAGTCAATCATTGATCAAGTCAGCACCCCTGACTGGAGAAAGACCTGAGCATCCTCCAAGGCCTGCAAAACTCAACTCCCCTATTTTTTAAAAAATGTTCATCAGACAGAACTCAGCTGAAGTGCATACTGTTATGAATAGTCATTATATAAAATTATTATGTGAATGTTTATTTTAAAATGTTCAGCTTGGTGACCTTTTATGGTGGCCATTAGGACTGGTGAATAATATATACTATTCCCACTTGTTTGTTCTTCAAGGTCTCTGGGATGCATTTTGTATGAGATGTGCTGTTTGAACCATGCATTTACTGGACAGAATTTTTTGTCTGTTGTGTTAAAAATTGTGGAAGGTGAAACACCTTCTCTTCCTGACAGATATCCAAGCAAACTGAATGCTGTGCTATGCAGGTATGTTATTTTCTTGTTTAGCAGGTTTTTCAGTAGTTTGGACAATTGCTTAATTATTATATTTGGTTTTTAATGTTTCAGCATGTTAAGTAAGAATCCCTCATTGAGACCAGCAGCAGCAGAGATCCTAAAATCCCCTTATATTGATGAACAACTACAGGTATGTAAGAAAAAGCAGTAGCTGTACACTTGCCATTTGAGTATGTATTTTGCAAAACCAAAATGGAGGTAGGGAAAACATGGTGAGAAAAAAGAATTTGATAGCTCTTGATGGGAGCATTAATCCAGGGGACTTTCAGAGCTATAGTACAAATATGACTGGGGAATGAAGCCCTCATCACTTGATATGCTGAAAGTATCCCCTCTTAAATGTTATGAGGAATAAGAAAACCAGACATTTATGCATAAAAAAATGTAGATCACTTGGGCCTGGGTACATATCTCTGAACTGTTCTGGATACTCATAGTTTTAATGAAAACCAATGCCTTCTGCTCTTTTTGCCCTGGCTTCATTGCCTGTATTATTTGGCTTTCTGAGAAGGTGGGGAAGGAAACTGCTTGGTCAGTTTTTATATTAGGATGGTATTAGGTAATAGCTGAGGATTCTGAACAACTTTAACATCAAGTCTTGATGCCCCTTCTGTTTTATTTCCCTGTAGAAAATACAGTACAAGTTCACAAACATGACTGTGAAAGACAAGGCACTTAACTGTCAGAAAGAATCTGCTCCTATTTTTGGTGCTGTGTAAGTATTTTAAACAGCTTTATGGGCAGTAGTATATGAAATGACAGTGTTGCCAAATAATGTCATTAACTTGTGTCTGTCATCACTTATGTCAATCTCATAGTGCTTTATGTTTAGACAAATCTATTCCCTAGAAATACAAGAGCAACCACTCCCATTAAGGAGGTGCATAATTAAAATTTAGGGAGTAAAAAAAGATTTGCAGATGGAATATTTTTATTATGTGACTGTGTAAATTGCACATGCATGTGCATATGTTGATGTTAATTTAGTACTAACTGGTATGTAAATGACATTTGTGCTGAAATTTTGGAGGTTTAAGCTGTCATTTTAGTTAGGTCATCATCATTTACAGTGCTGCTGTTTCTGTACCTCCTAAAAATTGAATGTGAAAGCTATGTTTCCTAAATGACATCAGACTGAAAGCATGCACACTTAAACTAATATTAAGCTAATGCCTCTGTAGGATACGGTTATTTTTGTCTTGTAACTTCAGTGAGAAATCAAGAGTAGTGATGTTTCTTGGCTCTTACAGCAGCACTGTCTTCACACATGATCTCTCTCTTAGGCACTGAATATATATTGAATTAAATAATTGCATTAAATGACAATGCTGCAATGTTTAAAGCAAATTCTAACATGGATGTTTTCTTTTTGCCTGTGTAAATTAGCTCTGCAGTTTCATGGGCAACTCGCCCTCCCCTTTGCTCCCCATCCCTGAGCTTTCTGTACAGGTTTTGTTCTGTTGGGAGCTAGCAAGAGCAAAACCTGAAGTTTGTGATCCTGTGAGGAAGCAATGAGCATCCCTGTTCCTTGTTTCCTTTAAATAATTGTCAAGATTTTAACAGCTCTCTGATATTTGTTTTGAATTATTAGGTAACAGCAAAATAAGAATTGTTTTAATAAAGATTAAAACAATCCAGAACTGGCAGTGCCTTTGAGGCAATAGGATTTTCACCTCTGTTTTTGTGATCTCTGCTCTTGTACAGGACTCACAGTTTTGCAGCTATGATCACTTTGCAGATGCTGCCAATTCTGCAGCTTGCAAGCCTCCCTTCAGGAGAGATGACCATCTTCAGCTTTTCCAAACAGAGTGTAGTTTGCTGTCAGTGGTAGGAAGAAAGCAGAGTACAGACAGTTGAAATCAGCATAGCAAAACCTTTTATACATCATTTCACACAGTTTAACTGCTGTCAGTGTGTCTGTAGGCTCTCATCTCTACAAATTGTGTTTTGAGTTTCTACTTGTCACTTCTATCCTTAATGTCTCTTGTTGACAGATGAGTCTCTGGTTTTTTGTGAGGCCAAAGTTGTCCATTTTGGTACAAATAGGTACCTTTGGTATAAATAGTTCATTGAACTTTGCAAGCCTTGATGTAAAATAAAATAATAAATATATATATTCAAGTTAATTCAATTAACTGCGAGAGGATTCCTTCCTTTTCAAATTACATATAGTTAACTGTACAGATCTTCCTTAGAGATATACTGTAAATGCTTTTGGGGCACTGAAATGTTTCCAAGATCTTATGCCATGAATATATTAATTATATCCATATTAATATATTGTATGCATATTAATATAATTATATCCATATTAATTATGATATATAGTCAGTATTTAATGCTTGTTGAAACATAGATTATGAAAAATCTTCAAGAAACTTTTAATTCTTGCCTTTATCTTGTGAATACTATTTCAGATTCTCTATATGCACCAAAACTATTTTATCTGCTTTGGGGAAGCAGTATTGTTACTTGCAGAATATATATCCAGACTTCAAATATCCTCATGCTTCTAGAGGAGACTGATAAAACCACTTTGTATTTTTGTAAAATATGTACTGCATTCTATACATGACCATTGTCATTAGCTTGAATGTATTGAGTCTTGTCACCTTTCAAATGGACATCATTTTCTGACAGAGCTAGCATGTGGGAAGGACATTTATATAAATCCCAGAATCTGTAAGTATACTTTTTCAAAATCAAATTTGTAGTCTCTAAGAGGAAGAGCAAGTAGTTCTAACTACAAACATCATGCTCTTATGCTACTGTTAGAAGGAAAGAGAAAATCTGTTTCTGTGCAGAGGTTTGGAGTTCTATAAATCATGAAGCAATGAATGTCAATTTATCTTGAGGTTTTAAAATTCAGGGCATCAATTAGAGAAAAAAATCCTAGGAGAAGCTTTACTGTAACTGTACTGTACTTTATCCTCACTTGTACTACAGTGTGATTATTTTTGCCCAAGTGTTTGGAATATGCAAGAACTCATAATCTTATAATGACTCTCATTGTACTTATGAGAGCATCAGCTGCCAGTATTGTCATTGGTAAGTAAAATGCCAAATAATCCCTGCAATCCCAGATCTAAACAGGTAAGCAAAATGAACTAAAAATACATGAAAAATGACAGAGAGCAGAAAAGGGGAGGAGAAAAAAATTAAACATAGTCAGTTCCCCACATCAGCTGTCTTGCAGCAATACTCTAGTCCCAGTGAGTGTACAAACATTTGCTTGCTGTGGTGTTCTCCTCAACCATTGCCACTTTATGTTTACTTTTTTCTCACCAGGAATGCTTTTTGCCACACAATGCAAAAAGGTTGAGTCAAGTTTCTTCTAGTAAAGGCCTCTGATGGCTTGTTTTAATCTATTCTCATTCAAGTAATAAATTTTAAATATTTAAGTAAGTATAAGGCTGTACAAGTTCAGTTTCAACTTGAATGAAAAATTGCTTTTTTTCCCCATGAGATTATTTTAATTTAAATTAGGGTTTTTTACAGGAGACAAGAAATACGTCTACATTATTCATACTTGAAGAGTTAGTTCCATTCTTATGAATAATTGAAGTCTTCTTGTCTTTGTCCTTAATCTTTCATATTTCACACTAATATTCATATCTTTGCACTATTTGAAAAACATAATGAATCTTCTCTGCTCATTTATTAAAATCCTGATTTCAAAATGATAGTCCAGAAGGAGTGTTACAATTTGTATGGTTACAAACCTGGCCTCTTAGATTATCAGAAGTGAATTTATCTCATAAGAGCATAAACAGTAATTTGAAATGAATACTTGGCATTATAAATATGTGGTGTAATATATATTGTGTAAGTGAAAGGAGACTGCCGAGGCATTTCAAACTAGGGTGTAATTTTTGTTTTAATTACTGTAGGATGTGAGATAAAAATCTGAGATTAGTATCTTTTTTCTGATAAAGGAATAGTATTGCTCTCCTTGGTTGATAAATACAGCTGAAATACATAAGTCAATAATTCATGCTCAGCTTTCAGAGATGGTCTATGGAGACCATTTTACCTGTGAACTCTTATTATTGATTAGGACCAGAAATTCAAGAGGAGAACATTATAATTATATCTGTCATTAAGGACACATAAATATTATCATTTATTCCAGACAGCTTGTAACAATCAATGTAAAATGTACAAGCCATATTACGGCTCTTATTTAGTGACTGCCTTTGTACTTGGAATATGCCCAATAATGAAGCTTGACAGGGTAAATATTTCACTCTGCTTCAATATCTGTTCTTTTAAGGAGATGAATCTGCCTTTTTCCATCCTCACCTGAAATGAATCACCCTCTTCACAAATCCAAGTTTAAATATTTCAATTTAAAGAGGCATTTGCTTTCCAAACCAAAGTCTATTTAGTCTGCTATAGTTCCAGAGACTTTCTAATTATTCCATTTGAAATGTCACTGTGTTTCAATATCCAGTCAAAATACTGAATATTTACATTTTTATGTGAAGATGGGTTTGCTTGCATTCAATTTCAGGCAGAAGAAAGTTCATTTGCAAACTCTGCAGGAACTTTCTGAAGTTCAGAAAATGACACCGCGGGAACGAATGCGGCTGAGGAAGTTAAATGCTGCAGACGAGAAGGCAAAGAAGTTGAAGTAAGTTGTGCCCTAACCATGCAATTTTGCCCACCCAGCAGTCTAATGGGAGAGTTAGAATTGTCAAGGTAGAAATAACGATAGTATGGGTCTTCAGCTACTCAAAGTCAATGAGTATTTTGGGTGTTAAAAAATCACATTGATTATTTATGTAGGAAGAAACATAGAACATTAGCCCAAAACTGGTGCTTCAAATACCATAGTTCTGGTCAAATAAGTATGTGAAAGATTTTCAAATGTGTTACAGTAGGAGGCATTTTTTAAATGACTGTTGATGTTAAGAATTGCACAGTCTCAGGAGTCAGACATTTAGTTGCAATCCAGCTTTTGTCAATTATTTTGGCCTCAGTGGTTTTCCAGTAGCAGTTAATAGCTCAGAGGATAGATAGTCTTGTCAAATGATCAAATGGGGATAATGGACATGTTGTAAAGTGTTTATGATTGATGGGTTTTTTCATTAAGTACGGTATAATAAAATGTTTGGGAAGAGACTAGGTACAGTTTCTGATGAAATATGAGAAACAACTGGAAGGCTTTGTTTGGGGTTTTTTAACAAAAACCAGAATATACTGTTTTGATGACACATTTGAAGCAAAGAAGTAAGACCTTCATGTCCTTTTGGAAAGTATGTCTGAAGAGTACTTGTGTCTGACTGGCATACATAAATTAATTCTCATTTAAAAAAACCCTCTTCTTGAACTGAAACCACTGTATAAAAAGTATTAAATTTAACACCTCTTTTGCATGGTGCTTCCAGTAATATGGAAAGCCAATTCTTGTACTAGTATGAAATTTGTAGATAGGAAGTTGTAGCAGACTCCATAGAGCTTGGCAAAGCTCCATGGAGGATGGAAACTTAACAGTAGGAACTGCTGAGTCAGGATGAGACAGCAAAATAAGTTCCTGTCTCTGACCTCCCTCCCCTTAGCCTTATCTTTGTAACCTCATAGGCCACTATACCTAACCCTTACTATTGGACAAGTTTGGATCCCCCTATACCCTATAAAAAGGGGCTGTTTTAGCCCATTCGACAGAAGAAGAGCTGTCGCTGGGACCCTTCACAGACTCCCCCAACAAACATCGCTGTGGAACCACCAGGACCTCTCCTTCTCCTCTCTCGCGTCTGCTGCAGCCTCAGCCAAGGGCACCCTAGCAAGCAAGCAAAGAGCTGATATCCTAAGAGAGCTGAGATCACTAAAGAGCTGACAATCACCAAGCTTGCTAAGGGGTAGCCTGCAGCAATGGCCACGAGCTAACTGGGCATTCGGGCTCCTGTCTCCCAGAGGGACTGGGCTCCCGGACCATCCTTGCACCGCTCAATAATAAGGCCAAGATCAAGGCTTTATTATAGGAAGTCTGTCTTTTTCACTTTTTAAAAATTAATGGAAATCAGAAAATAATACTAATTGCAAGATTGTTCTAGTTTGGTTTTCAATTTCATTGCTTTCTCACATTTTGATGTTTTCTGATGATATTTTCATATTTTTTCTTTCCCCCAAAACCAAAATGAAATATATTTGTTTTGTAATATGAAGGCAACATTAATATTCGGACCTTGTTCTCAGTCATGAATCTTTAAAATGGATCAACATTGAGCTCTAGATCATTAACAGCTGACTGGCTGAAAATGTTGGAAGCAATGCAAAAATGATACCTTCTCAAACTGGAGATCTGCTCCCAGCAGTGCAAATCCAGAGATGGGTGGGAAGGGAATGTATTAATGGAAGTTGGAATGACTGCTTAATGTAGCACCTGTCTAAAGTGGCTCCACACAGAAACCCACAGTTACCAACTGGCCCCCAGAGGAAGAGTTCATAGCACGCAAATGTTGCGTGCCTGTCTACAGCTGAAAGGTTCCTGCACTACCTGGTGGAATAAAGCCAAAAGTATTTAAGACCATTGGAAGAACTAGAAATGACTAATAATTTACTATTTCTTAATTATGTCATGCAAGTTGTGAAGGTAAAATATAATAGGGTTTGGAAATAAGGTCTGAAATCTCCTTTTGTGTTCATTATAAAACCTGAGTAGATGCCATGAATATTTGGCAACATGAAAATCTCAGTATGGAATTTGTTTTCCCATGTCTGCTTCTAGAAGATCCCTTTGTGCATCCCCTGATATGACATTCTTAATACAAGAGTTCTGCATTTACAGGCAGCTGGCAGAAGAAAAATATCAAGAAAATATCAAAAGAATGCAAGAATTCAGGTCCCGTAATTTTCAGCAGCTGAATGTCAATGTTCTACATGTAAGTATGGGCTGTTGTTTTGAAGGTCTCATTTTTGTGCACCCAGTGTATAGCACTTTTCTGTTTCCCATGTGGTTTCTTTAGCACTAGAGGCACAGGCCTGTTCTGAGACTAGTAACTGGGAAGTGCATCAAAAGCTGAACTGCTTAGCTGAACCAGTTGATCTGTGATGAGGCAAAGTACATTCAATTATTCAGATATGATTCAACCAGCTCTCTATTCATTACACAGTTTTATTTTTTTCAGTTACGTTTTCTTAATTTGCCATTAAGTCTAAATCTGCTCTCTGAAATGTTTTTACTGACTGTATGACATTGGAATTCAATACATTTCTTTTCAAGATGTTTAGTCGTAATCCTTTAAACATTTTATATTTGGTGTGGCTTTGAGGGTGTGGCTTGTGAGGGTTCTTTTCATTTGGCTAAGCATATTAACACTTCAACTGGCTTTCTAGTAAGAATGAAGCCTTGGAATGACTCCCAGAATAAGTTGTCCTTTGCTTTTAAACAATCTGCAACAGAAGATCAGCCAGTTCAATTCTAGCACCACATCAATTGTAGAAAGAAAAGGGTCAGTTTGGAAATAGTTGGTGAATGCATCACAAAAATATTTTTTTGTGTGCTTGGTATTCTATCTTTTCTTTTGTATATCCTCTGGTTTCTGTTTTCCATAGTGTGTAGAAAAAAATATATATTAAACCTGGTTCTTATGGCTGAGTCACTACTAATCATTTACAAAAATGTTAGGATTTTATTTTAGTATTTGCCTAATACATGTCCCAGGAACTGTGTAGATAAGGGCAACCATTGTGTTGTGATCATGCTGAAAGGTCTATTCCTGTTTCTCCATGCTGTTTCATCATTTGACTTAGGAATCTGCTGAGCAGACTTCAAAACACCTCATTCATTCCCAGCCAGCCACTATGGGCAACTATGTGTCCACAGGACAGGATGAACCAAGAGGGAATGGGACAAGTGAACTCAGCGTGTCTGAACTTACAGACCACGGTAAGAATTCAAAATCTGATGTTAAAATGAAAATTCCTGTCAAGAAAGATTTTTCCCTTGTAGTTCATATGCAGTGGGGAAACTGCAGCTTAAAAAGTGGTCAGATTTGTAAAGTTGTCAAAAAATGGCAGAGAGAAGGAAATTAATCTGGGTGAATGTATGTACAGCAGATGTATAGAAAGGTTACATGGCAGGAAGTCTGTTCTCCCGAAGTTTGAGTGACCTGTGAGCAGAAATAGGGGTGAGTGTACTTCCTCCAAAGGAGATGCTGCATTGGAAGGAAGTAGCTTAAACCTTCCACATATGAAAAGATTGGCATTAGAAAACCATTTCCTAACTCATCTTTCTAGTGAAAAAAGGAGTACAAGAATTCAAAGTGTTTGCACCTTTGGTACACTTTGATGTCCTTTTCTTTATCTTTAACAATGAGAGAAGCAGATGGAAACTCTTTAAACTCTGCTTGTCTATATTGTCCACAAACACTTAGCTATTGTCTAAAGAATATGAAGTACTATATAACATGTTTTTCTGTTATAGACAAAAAATAGTCAAGCTTTTTGAAAAGTGTCAGATTGTGGAAATCTTGTGGTCAATGAGGAGAATATTTTTAGGATGACATTTATATGGTTTTGTCTAAAATGTTCTGGAGTAGTGTCTTACTCATATATTTAAAAATTATTGTGTGAGCACTATTATGGTGAAAGATTTTTAATCAGATTAAAATCTTGCAAATACGTATCAATATACTTTAAAGTAGGAAGACTACTTTTCTCTAATAGCACTGCCTTTTAGTGTTGGTTTATGTGCATGTGTGAAAGTATAGGTCATTAAATTAATGGCATCAGAATCAGTTCACTTGTGGTGGAGGTGTTTTGGGGCTTTTTAATAGCAAATGGCTATTTTTTCTTTCAATGTACCCTCATTTGTGTCTGTGTGGTTGGCTTACTGTTTCACAGCAGGAGGAGAGATGACCTGTGTAGGAGAGAACCCAGCTTCTAGAAATACATCCTGGGGGGAGGGTGGGGAAACGTGCAAAGGGAGGACTGAGAGAAAGCAGTAAACGTGGGTGAGAGCTGGGCTGGGAGGATCACACAAAGACTCCTAAATAGAAACAGAACAACATGCTTGGAAGGAAAGAAACTGATTTTTCTGCCTTTAGAGGTCATTAAGCTTTTAAACTATAATGACAGGAATGAGATGCATTTGTATCTGTGATGCAAAAGCTGGGTCAGCCCATTGTACAAAACTGAATGCATGTTTAATTGCTTGTGCCAGAGTCTCTGATGGAGGAGTGGTGGGTTCATGACAAAAAGAGTTATGGATGAGCAAGAGAAATTACATGGTTTCTTTTCTTTGCTTTCTGAATACCTTGTTATTCCTGAAGCTGATGTCAAAACTTGTTCTTATTCTATTCAGTGTTCATGCTCTTCTTTTCTTTAAGCATTTCAGTGCAACCATGCATATCCTACATGTCTAATTATTAAGTTATTAATTGCACCTTTGCATTTGAAAATGTAGAAACTGTTCCAGCTATTGATTTTCCAACAGAATTTAGTTCTTGATCAATGGCTATACAAGAATAAAAGGAAAAAAAACTTATAGGAAGGCTATAAAATGGTTTTAGCAAGTTGTCTTACGTGTTAATTAATCTTGCTGACCCTTATTATGTTAGCAGAAGAAGTTAGCCTGTGAAAACCAGACTAACAAGCTCCCTAGTTACAACTAATCACTCAGAATATTTGGAAAGGAGAGAAAAGGCAGGAGCAACTTTTAAATTACCAGGGCAGACCTAAAAAAATCATCTCAAGAAAAGCTGATGAGGAACAGCTAGGGATAGTAGCCCAGACCCAGCAGGTGTGGAGGAAAGTTCAGAGTATCTGTGGCTCTTAGCCTGCAGTCCTTCTAAAATTTACAACATGAGCTAAAGAGAAGAGCAGGGTTTGGAGTATTGAAAGATCAAGCTATTAAAGGATTAAGGGAAGAAATAGAAAATAAAACACCTTGCACTCATCTTTCAGTGAAAATTATCTAAATCATTATGAATCACAGTTGTATGTCATTGTGGAAGATGTCAAATACAAAGCTTAAGGTTTAGCTTTAGTGAGTAGTTTTGAATACTGTGGCATCTTGAGTCAGATTTAGTAGTGGTAGTTACACTTAACTGAAAGTCAGGAAAAACAAGGCAGTGTAGTTATATAAACAAAACCCACTATGGCAGTTTGGGGTTTTGGACTTCACAGTGGACAAAATTCAGCAATGGCAAAAGCATTCAGCTGCTATAGACTTCCCTGGGAAGTTTAAGCTTCTCTCCATGTTTGTTTTATGTAATCAGCAATGATATTTTGAACATTTTTTATTCTAACTCTTAGCCTTGTGCACTTGAGAGATATTTGAAAGAGTTCTTTGAAATCACCTACTGACCATTTTGTTAGTCTTCAAGCACATTTATTTTCTGGAATATGAAAGATGTGAGTGGACCCTGTGGTTTTGATGTGGAGACGAACTCATTGAACTACAGAAAAGCTTCCTCAATACTGTTTACAACTGGTACAAGTTCTTGAGAATCTTATATGAAGTTATCAGATTGTTATTCCAAATGAAATGTTGCAGGCAATGTAAATACTGTTTCTTTAGCATTTTAAAAATGCATTGCCTTATTGCCTAGCAGCTTAATTACTTCTCTCCTCCTGTGTATAAACCTCTATAAACTTCTATCTGTTCATATGTTTTAATACTGGTCACTTGTAGCCTACCTGGACCTTCCATCCTTATTCTTTCCTTAAGATGCTTCCTAGCTCTTACCTCAGAATCTATAATGGATTATTTTAGTTTTTAATGCCCTAAGTTTTGAACTCGCAACTCTGTTCTTTGAGTTTCCTCATTTTCCATTATTCCACTTCTCAGGGTCATCTAGTGTTTGTTCTTATATTATCCTGGTTCTGGGACTTGGTCTCTCCAGCTGGCATGCATACTAGAACAAAGGATTCTATCAGTTTGGCTATTACTTTTCTCCACACTGCAGATTTTCAGAGAGGTGGGCAGGGTAACATTACTTGCAATAATGAAGATTTAAAAATGTCTTTAGACTTCTATTTCTCTGAAGGTGCTATAATAAGTTTCTGAACAGTTTTGCATTTTTAATCATACTATCTAAAGTAAGCAAATATTCTCCTTATATGTAAAAAGACAGACAATGGAGTGGCTAAGAAGGACCTAGAACAAAATTACTTCTGTGATTACTGTTAGCCATATTAAGTAAATAACTGAAGCATGTTGATTGTATCATTGAACAGTAGATGTTTTTACTGTATTGTTTCAGCTAGTTAGACCACTAACATGTTACTTAGAAGACTAAACCTTTGTAAATAGAAGAAAATGAAAAGCATTTTTGCTCATTTGCAAGTCTTTTATCTAATAGTTTTAATCTGCATTGAGTTTTTAGATTGGTTAATTTGAAAACAAAACAAATTATTTTTGCTAATGAGATATTTATGGAAAGATATATGTTTTATAGTTGTGTTTAATATTAGTTGAAAAATGTTGATATCTCTGTCTTATGTTTCCAGGAGTTTATGGAATTGTCATCATATAAATAATTTAACTGTATGGCAGACAGTGCAGTTAAGAATATATTGTACTACTAGGAACATTTTTGGCTTATATAGATATCTTTGTGTCTCTTCCATCTTCAGTTTCTCCAAGTACCTGCAAGAGACTAAGGAGGTGAAATAAGATTTGTATAGAGATAGTACACAGAAGCACTGAGCCACTGTCAGTGTTAAATTCAAATATTTGTGTGTGGAACATATATATATTTGTACATCTGTACACTTCATTTGTTTCCAATGAGCAGTGTAAAATGGAATAGCTAATTATTAGCATTAGGAATAGCTAATGATTAATAACTGAATTCCCTTTATATGTTGATTTGGATGTTTTGTTTTCTGTTTCATTTCTCCAGTTCTTTTTATTGATTAATTATTTCAGAATGTTAAAAAGCATATTTTGCAGGTCATGGCAATGATGCAGGAACAAGCAATGCAGAATGTGTCAGGATAAACTTGCACCTATGTTTCCCATTCTTGCTGAGGGTTACCTACAAAGTAAATTATTCATCTTCTCTTGTTAAAAAAGCCACCTAGCAATAAATTGCTTAACATCATGCACCCACACACATCCACACACCCCCCTTTGTCTTTTAACCAGTTTTTTATAGAAGCTGTCTCCATTTGGACTAGGACAGATAGGTTAATATATATTTTTCTGGAGATTGCTGCATTTTCAGTGCATGTACTTATCTTTCAATAGTGGGTTTGTGAAAATACTGGTGAGGCAAATTATATTGTAGTGCTGGCACCCAGAGGTCAGTTCATCTAACAGAAAAAAACTCAACAAAGCTGTGAAAAAGAACTCTGCATATTAAACTGCTCATTTCCATTAATGATAATGACTGCAGCTGGAATGAAATCATTCATTTTATAAAGCATAAGCAAAATATTATCAACAAGATAATAGGACCATCCATGACCTACAACCCAGCCTGGTTGTTATGGATGAATATGGTCAGTGTCTTCCTCTGCCAGTTAGAACAGGGCAGATCCAGCTGGGCAGGTTCTTCACATGTTTAATGTTTAATAATGTGGCCTCCTTCTAGAAAGCTACTGGAACCATCACAAAAGTAATGCATTGCTTCCTAATATAGCATTATAATTCTTCTTCATCTTCTAATGTATCTGATTGAGATTATCATCCACTTTTCTGATTCAAAAAGAATAACCAGAGACCCCTTTTCCAGAGAACTGGATATTGATATTTTAGGACGCAGAAAGTCATCTTTGCCCTAGATTTTCCACTGATAGACCACCTCAGCATTTTTGTGTGTGCTACTACACACTGGGCTAGGTAATGGCAGATCTCTCACTGCATCACATTAATTATTTGAGTGCAGGTAGTTTCACCTTGGTTGCAATGTCCTCTATCAAAGCCAGATTTTACAGCAT